TAAGGTGGCCATAAATTTACTCTTGGTTATGAATCTATTCAGAGTTTTAACATACTTACGTCACCATTTTTGTTAAACCAAACCAAAAGTAGCCAAGCCAATGTTGGATAAACTTGAACCCGATCCCAGGCTGCAAGATGACTGGACGCAGAAGAGAATTAAAAACAATTTGAAGCGGAAAGGAAAAAGCAATTTTTTGTTATATATGTTAAGATGCATGGTCATACCGAATAGAAGTAAAGGACAAATTTATTTGAAGATAGCGGTAAGTTCTTCTCAGATAGGTGATTAAGCTTAGCATTATTTGTCCATTATGCCTGGCAGTATCACAAGGAGATGAATTAGGCTTTTCAAAAAGAAAATACTCTGCCATGATGTACATTAAGGGTGACATTACTATTATTTACTTTTATTCTTGAATTCCAAGTTATTTACTCTGGACAGATTTACCTCTCAGGTTTGGAAGTATTTTGATTGTTTTTTCAATGACTTCTTTCCATTTGCCCTCCTATAGATTAATAGAATAGAATGCGTTCTCTCTTGGAAAACCCAGTTTAGCAGATTGCTTGAATCTCAATTTATATTTGGTAAGGCTTGTAATTTAGTATTTGACATCTTAAACTTTCTCTATTAATTGGGGTATGACAGTTGATGTTTTGTTCTCAGTGCTAATTCAGAAGTTTGGCTTGAATGCACTCGTTAAAGATCATAATCGTTACTAATAAATGGGGTATTCTTGCAAATGGAACATAAAATTATACCAATTTCCGATTGTATAGGATTTAGCGGGGCTATAAAACTTTTCCCATTAGTTTAAGATATGAAAGTGATTGAAGTTCGTTCAAATAACTTAAGCAGAAATCTATTTAACAAACTCTGAATTTGAACATGTTTGAAAATGTTCAATTCTACAGATTACATATTATGGATTTGGCAAGGAGAAGAGAGATGGCTACCTCATTTATGGACCAATTTAAGAGGTTAGTCAATTTGATGGCAATGCTTACAAGAGATTGATGGAAGCTCCAATGATCCCTCTCCATGGCTTCAGCGTTGTGAAGTCCAAAGGGAGGCCAATGCAGTTTCAAAGCCAAAAGAAAAATCTATTATGGGTTATGATAATGATTTTCACAGTCACAGGAATAAAATAAAGTGCCCCAGCAAAAGATGGAGTATTTCTCTCCGCCCAACTTTGGTTTCAAAAGAGGACAGTTCCAGACCCACTTTCTAGAAGAATAATTTGCAGATGAACATGAATTACAATTCGCCGGTCCTTTACTGCAATATTTATAAATTAATAAACTGGAGTAGTGATATTAGAGTGATAAAAAAAAGTCTTCTTGTTCTAGTTAAAATGTCAATGATAAGATCAAACGAAAAAACAAAGTTCGGGCATTTAGAAAAATAAAAAGAAAGTATTAAGATGCCAATAAATCAATTTAATATAAAAAAAAAAAAAAAAAAGTCAAAAAAGACGATTCTTGATCTAACAAATTAGAACGCAAGAAATGCAGATCAATCGATTTACCAAAAGGAAGATTAATGATTAAAAGAAAATACAACTAAAAATAATCAAACACGAAGAAGAAGAAATAACTTTCACCTCGCAATCCTTATCTCTCTTCTCTAAGACAATTGACAAGCAGCAGATACAAAGAGCAATAAGGTCTCTTTTTTCCTCTTTCTTCTCTGTTAAATACCTTGTAATTGCATATAATTCTTGTTTGTTAAGAAATAAAAAAAATAAAAAAAAGTAAAAAAACCAGTAGCCTGGTTTTATATTGGCATTGGTCGGAAAAAAAATGAAGGAAAGGAAAACGAAAAAACGAAACCCAGAAAGAGAATTTGACGGGTCTGAGGCGTCTAGGGACAAGAAGAAAGGTGTTGTTGTTGGGTCAATGCCATAATCGTGATGCTTTACCATATGGACCGGACCGGACCGGTATTTCGTCCGTACTCAAACTGTCGGCGGAAGAATCTGCTATGCGTTACACCATTTTATAATTCTTACAACTTGTGTTTTTCTGCTATCGTGTTTGCTACTGAGAACATTAATTACGCGTACACCTTTTATGAGCCGTTCGATTAGGCTGATTATTTAAAGATGTGCGTATACAATCATTTTTTTTTTCATAATTAGTTTGATTAGAGTCCACTTAATTATAGAATGTAAACTTACCAAACTTCTTCCTTTTTTTTTTTTCTTTTTTTTTTTTGAAAAATAAATTTCTTCTGCGATGAAAGAACCGGCGAACAATACTAAAAGAAAAGGACCACGATTTTGGACTTAGATTTAAAAAAAAAAAAACACATAACTTAATTAAAAACATTAATGACGCTTAAATAAAAATAAAAACATACTTTTAAAACAATCATATGTGACAAATTTTTTATGCTAATTAAAATTCAATAATGACCTAATTACATATTTTAGTTTCATATATTTTTCATTTTTTATTGAGGGGTAATTGCTTGCCATCAATTATAAACTTTTACATTGGATTCATTGATGATATTATATTATAGTTAAAGCTTTTTATCATTCCTTGTAACTGTGTTTAGTGTTTAGTGAAGACCGAATCTGAGAGTTCTTTCCACATACTCAGTTTGCGTTATCGACCGATCACAATCCATAGGTAACTTTGCTCCTTTATAAAATAAGAAAGTATGTTACAAATTATTGATAATATGACTTACATAATTACAAAAAAATTATGATATTTGAAATTGTGAATAGTAATAAAATATGAGAATTTAAATAATAAAAAATTTACAATAAAGATATCTTTATATTACATTTTGAATTTAAGTTTTGAATATAAAAATTGTTAAATTGAGAAAATCACTTTTTATAGTATTGAGCCAGTATAGATGAACTATCGCTGTATTTGGATAATAAAATTGGAATCTTCTATAATCCATGCATCGACCATTATAATGTAGACAATCTGATCATAGGTTATTTGCATTTGCCCTGTAGCATTTTGGTTATTCTATTTCTTGCTTCCCAGTTCCTCCCAAATTGTAGGAGACAATTTAGGAATGCCGGAATTGACTTTTATTAGTCTTTAGGCTGCTAAAGAAAAATCTATTAAAAAAAAAAAGCTGCTATGGAAATATTACAGTTTCTTTACAGCTACAACTGGGTGATATTACACGGCGCGAATGGCGGCGAGTTACTTTTCATTTTTACGAAGTTGAAATCAGATACAGTCAATCTTTGCTGAGCTCAAAATTCAAATGATCAAAATTTGGAATCTCAGGTAGACCGGGAAATAGAAACCACTGGCCCTCCAAAATATATATAATTTGAAAAACGGTGTCGGAGAAGGACATGCACGTGGCTGCTGGCGGAGACGAAGATGAACCAATCTGGTTATGGCGATAACGAATGGTTGGCGTTCGACAATGAGTTTACCGATGAGGAAAAAGAAAATTATGAGATTGAGGTGGACGAGGAGGGAGGCGGAGATGGAGAAGAAGAAGAAGACAGTTTCGCCGCCGATTTCTATAGCTGTGGAACCGATTGGTCTTGCTTGTTGCCGCCGGCTACCAGTGGCGGAGATAATCATTTGGACAGGAAGCTAAAACAGGCTAATCTATTGGAAATGTGGGGATTAAAAAAGCCAAAGCATGAGCCTCTCCTTTTATCTCCGCCTCCACTCAAGAAATTGAAGACCGGCTCTGCAATTAACCCTAGAGGATCGATTTCAAAATTTTTTGGTAAATCTACGAACATTGCCACGACAACTACAACGACTTCTAATAGGAATCGACCTCGTAATTGTCCTTTCTACAAGAAAATTCCTGGTAAGTGAAGATCAAATCAGTTTTTATTTCTATGTTATGTATGCCCATTTTCAAGTTAATGAAATGAGGCAACTGTTTACAGGAACAGCCTTTTCTGTTGATGCATTTCGTTATGGTTCAATTGAAGGATGCTCTGCTTATTTCCTTACTCATTTCCATTACGATCACTACGGCGGTCTTACCAAAGGATGGTCTCATGGTCCTATCTACTGCACTCCTCTTACAGCTCGCCTCCTCAAACTTTGCCTTTCTGTCAATTCATCGTAAGAATTATGATTTTTTTTTTTTTTTTTTTTTTGGGCATAGGCAGGTTGGAGATTGAGGTTGCTTATTTTGTTTTTTATGGTTATGTGTTTTTCAGATTTATTCGTTTACTTGGAACTTAATTACCGAGTATGTTATTGAAGGAGGTTTACAGTAGAACATTATTAGAAGTAATCCACTGCCCTGGTGCTGCTTTGATTTTTTTTTTTTTTTTTTTGGCATAGGCAGTTGGAGATTGAGGTTTGCTTATTTTGTTTTTATGGTTATGTGTTTTCAGATTTATTCGTTACTTGGAACTTAATACCGAGTATGTTATTGAAGGAGTTACAGTAACATTATTAGAAGCTAATCACTGCCCTGGTGCTGCTTTGATTCATTTTCGCCTTCCAACTGGAGTTTGCTACTTGCATACAGGAGATTTTAGGGCTTCTGAGTTTATGCAGTCTTATTCCCTTCTTGTAAATCATAGAGTTAATATGCTTTACCTGGATACGACTTACTGCAACCCAAAATACAAGTATGAAACTTTTCTATCTCAACTTATACATAAATTAAACGTCTTCTGTATAGACTATTAGAATATACCATTTCAGTTCTTCGATTCAATGTTGTATTGTGTCATACATATTGTGGACAATGATTTTTTTGGGTTTCAGGTTCCCTTCCAAAGAAGATGTGTTAAGTTTTGTTGTTAGAGTTACAAAGGACTTCCTCAAAAGACAACCCAAGACACTTGTTGTTGTTGGGGCATATAGCATTGGGAAAGAATGCGTTTATATTGCCATTTCCAAGGCATTAGGTGTATGTTTATTTGTTGTTCTATTGAGTATTCCTTTAGATTCTTTTTCCATTTGATGGACATGTTATACTTGTAATAAAGTTGCTTTAGTTCAATTACAACTTACAAGGCTCATTTTGCTTCTCAACATTCCATTACCACACCTTATGACATGACATGATCATTGAATCAGTACGATTCACTGAAAGGTCATGGGTTATTTTGTTTGCTTGTTATCTTTCTTGAAAACTTGGATCATTCTGAATTTTAGATTCCATGGGTTAAATAATAGAAGGTTATGATACAGGATTCATAAGCACTGGGCCATAAAGCTGTAATAGAAAAGTGATTGTAAAACATTTAATTTTGTTTTCTACACTTTAAAAAAGGAAAGTTTGAAGGAATTATTAAAGTATCAATTATTTCTATCTTCTATAGGTTAAAATATATGCTAATGCTTCAAGGAGAAGGATTCTGCATTCTTTTGGTTGGTCTGATCTTTCAAGCAGTCTGTGTACACAAGCGAAGGATACACCTCTCCACGTGGTGCCCATATCTTCTCTGCGATTTGAGGTCTGATCCCAAGTCTTCATAATCTCTCTTACTATGAATTATGTATTTATTTTGTCAATCTACCATCATATTTCCCCTTTCCTTAGACCTTAAAAGATTACTTGAAGACCTACATAAATCAGTATGCAGCAGTTTTGGCGTTTCGACCAACAGGTAAATCTTATATATTCTTGTTTCCTTTTAATTTCTATACTTTTCTTTTACTTCCTTTTTGGTAGTTGCTAGAAAGTTCCAAGTTTCTTAATATTTATGTTATTTTATCTTAATTCTTCAGGCTGGACTTACTCTGAGAGTGTAGGCAAACAACTTGATCTAATTAGACCTATTTCTAAAGGCAATATCACAATTTATGGTGAGATAATTTGGATTTTTAGTTTCTTGAACAAACATGAAATGGTATTGTCATGACTTGAGCTTACTTTCAGGCTGTTTGATATGCATGATTTATGATCTCTAGAATCTATGGTGTTCTAATAACTTGGGCAAAATAACTTGATTGGTCGTCAAGTGTTTTTGTCAGCAAGGGATGATAATTGATGTATCATTTGCTATTGTCATAGGGGTTCCATACAGTGAGCACTCCAGCTTTACAGAACTGAAGGAGTTTGTTGAGGTCCATTTCAAAACCTAATCATTATATCCATTCTAATATATGCAGGGAACATTTGTATTATCATCCATATTATGCACTTACTGTTGGCTCAAATATGATTCATTTGTTTTCCATGGGAAAATTAATCTATCATCCTATTCTCTCATTTACAGTTTTTGAAGCCAGACAAGATAGTACCCACTGTCAATGTTGGGAATCCTGCAAATCGAGAAAAGATGCAATCTTATTTCCGGGAATGGCTAAATGGTTGAGGTCCTTGCAATAATCAAATAATTTAAATTTGCACCTGCAGGACTTCCTTTCACATCACGGCACAATAATTAATCCCAATTGTTTGACACAATGCCTTGCGAGAAAGGAATATGTTGTCTTTTTCAGTTATGCTACTGACTTTTACTCAGGCACCAAATAATTGGATTATCACAATCATCACTTTCAGTACACAGAGGCTTTGACAAAGCAGGTTCATGAAGTTTCAGTGGAATGGTCCCTGCCGTGTGGGGTTCAGACTTCAGAGTAGTCTCTCATGAATATATGTTCCATTTTACTGTAACGAGAAACTTTTCAATTATCTCCTGAAGAACAAAGGTGAAGCATTCAAGCAATCATTTTATTAGAATTGTTGTAATATCTAATAATCTTTCATTTGTCTGAATATTTAATTCTTACCAGAATGGATACAGAAGGTATAAAAAATATTGTTTCTGAGTTTATCCTTTTTCCTTTATTTAACTCCAAAGTTCAATAATTTCTTTCTTAATATTGATAAGAAATGAAACTAGCTTCTTGCTTTTTCTGCAAATACACAAACCATTTATATGCAAGTGTAGCATACAAATATCGACTATGGGTAGGCACTGGTCAGTTCGGTTCAAATGAACTGAGCCAATGCAAACCAAATACCTGAGATTTGTTAAAATAAAAACGAAACCAAACAGTGTACAGAACTGAACCAAACTGGTTCAGTTCAATCGATTTGGTTTAGTTTTTAATTTTTTTTTTTTAAATGTACATGGGCTTATTTTTTGGGCCTAATGAAACGAACCAAAATAAATTTCTTTTTCTTTCTATGGAAACAGAAATTGAACCAAATCAAACTGGTTTGCAGTCCGTTCAATCAAAATATGCTCAGCCGTATCAAGGAATACCATTTTCATAAACAGACTTTTAATTATTTTCAGTTGTGAGGAATGTTTACCTTACCAACTACAGCAGTTAATCATAAGATCTTGCAGCAAGAACATACTTTGCTTTTTGCAGCAGCAGCAGCAATTATGCTGGTTGTTTTAGAATACTATGAATGCTTTGTCCTGCTAGGCTGGGAAGCTCTAGCATTGAGAAGGTTTCAATCATCTGAACATGATGTTATTGTAGCTGATTTGATTTGTCAGATGCTCAGAGCAATTCAAACAAAGGAAGAATCAACCTGCCAACTGAGAAGAAATGAAAAGATGCCAGCATCACAAGAAAAATCCAGAAAAAGGAAAGGTTAATGGACTAAATCCTGTCTTAATATAGAAATTTATGATACTTTAAGACTTTCCTGGGTTTGTTGTGTTGACTTTTGAAGTTTTCATCATAATTGACCAAGAAATAGCTAATAAAGTTGGTCCAAATCCAATTACCCACTGTGTAGTCCAAAATCCAAAGCTTAGACACCTGGCTGCTTGGGTGGGACAGTATTGATAACTGTAGGAAGAGAGAACTAAACTTTTCTTGAATTCTCTCTCCATAGGCATTTCTGAATCTTCTCCACTTGTATGTTGCTCAATGCTCAGATAGGCAAGTATTGGAAAGCCTATGAGGGAGAGAGTTCAAAAAAAGCTGAGCCTCCAAAAACCACTATCATCTAACAGTTCTGTTTCCGTGGGGGTGATGTCTGTGTCTGTTTTTAATCTCTCTGCAGTTGGATCTCATTTCTCTAATTTTCTAGTTTTATAGAGAGGGAAAGAAGAGAAGAAGAGAGGAGAAAGGGATTTACATTGAAGAGTTTATATAAGTGTATGGTTCAAATGAAGCCAAAAGAAGAAATTTCGACAGGAAAGAAGAGGGGATTCGCCTAAAGTTTATGTGCGTGAAGTTCAAATGAATCAGAAAGTATAAAAGGAATTTCCACCAAATTTCACATAATTTGTTGCTGTAGGGTAAAAAATTAGGAGAAATGTCACAGTAATTGCCTGAGGCCAGAACAATAACTAACCAACCATTCATATTAATTGAGCCAAATACAAACTCATAATTATAGTTTTGGAACTTGTGATCAGTTTTGGTTATTTTGTCTATATTTGATTTTCAACATTATGTCAGTTTACTTATTAAATCTCAACTTTTTGAAGCTTACTTTTGTCTTGTTATATGGCTCTATAACATACTGATATATAAGATTATGTTAATAATGATATGTTATTTTAAAGTTTTGAACGTTAAAAAAAAAAAGTCACTCCTTGACAAATTGATATATTGTTGTTTAAAATTTTCTCCATAAGAGTAACTGTGCAATCACACGTGGTTTGATTAGTTTTCTCACAAATTACAAAAAATATAGGGAACATGTACTCTATTTGGGTCTTTTTCACCTCATGAGTTTTCATTAATTTAATAAGTATTATTCAAAAGGAAGAGCTATTTAATATGTTATTTTGACCTATTTTGTGGTGGGCGTTATTTCATGTTCAAGTTAAGCAAATTATTTTATAAATTGATATTAAACGGCTTTGTTCAAATATTTTAAGGTTTACAGAAATTATTTAAAAACCGAGTTGATCGGTTGGGTTAAAAACCTCTCTCTAAATAACATTAATTTAAACTATGATTTTCTTGCTGGATTTGTGTATTTAGTTCAAATAGATTCAATTTGTAAATCTGTAAAGAAGTTGAATTTCACATGAGGTTAGGTTTTTCAACTATAAAACTGAATTATAGATTGAAGAAGCTGGCCTCGCTATGAAGTAAAGGTTTTTCTTTAGGGAATCAAAATAACTGGTGATTAAACCCACAAGAACTAGGAAGAGTCACTCGTCTTTGCGACGCGGGAAGCCGGTGGTAAAAATGCTACCCTTGGATTCATCTAGTATTTCTTTTTTCACATCAATAGATGTGTCAAAGACCTATTTTGTTCTAATGGAACCAATAATCTTCGTTATCTTTTATTTATAAATCTCCATCCAGGGCCCAGAATCAGAATATAAAATCAAGAAAAAAAAGGTACTATCTTGTAATTTTAAAAAAAAAAAAAAATTTGTAGCTAGAGAGAGACAACAGGATCGGGGTCCCCCACTAGCTACGCCGCTGGGTCCATGGGTTGCCCAAGGCGGGAGCCTTCATGTTAAAGACCATCGATATTGCAGGTAATGGTAATAAAAAGCCAATTGATCATTGCTCTATGTTAGGCTTGGAAACTGCCCCTCAACGGTCGCAGTTGTGCTTACGTCTCGTTCTGTCCGTTTCTGCTAACCAGCTCGAATTCCTTGGAGAATTTCATCCCCATAGTTAACGAATCTTTTTTAGCCCATCTTATTCTGAATTTGGATTATGAGAGATTTCTCAGTATTTTTCAACAATTCCAGGGTTTAATAAAACTCCCTCCTTTGTCTCAGTATTTTTCTCTTTTTTTTTTTTTTTTTTTTTTTTATCTTTTTTAGCCATCTTATTCTGAATTTGGATTATGAGAGATTTCTCAGTATTTTTTCAACAATTCCAGGGTTTAATAAAAAGCTCCCTCCTTTGTCTCAGTATTTTCTCTTTTTTTTTTTTTTTTTTTTTTGACCATCAGTTACTATTTTTTTTTTTTTTTTTTTTTTTTTGACCATCAGTTACTATTTAAAAGGAAGGAAGGGTATTATCCATCTAGTATCCTAAATTTTAACCAAGAGAGAATATAAGAATAGCTGTTTCCAAGTGTCAAGTAATACTACTGAAATTCCTATTCGCATATTTTGCGTGCTTAGCCTTCAAGATTAACCTTCTTGTCCCTAAGGTCAATTATTAAAAAATGCTTGTAAATTAATGTAGCAAGAAATTTCCAATTTAAGAATTCACTACAATAATGAATGAGCAATGCACCATAATCATGCAATTAGTAGTAACAAATTTACAAAATGAAGCTCATTAAGGTTGGCGTAAGCACCGAAACTAGTGGGGGGAGGAATAGAGTCGCTAGATCCCTAAATCTAACTTGTAACTGTTTACTTTTCCTGGTAATTTCTGCTGATAGCCAAAGTGTAATTTTTGCTGTATCTTCTAGGAATTTCTCAAACAAGAATTTGAGCTGCAACCTTTTCGATGAGTACATATCAAAACATAACCTTGGTATTCAGTAAACGAAATCACAATCCAACTTCAACTGATTTTAGCTGTAAATTTACAACCTCTTGTGATAAATACTCTTGATTTAGCTGAAATAAACTATTAAAGTGTAATGAGAAAGGACTCAAAAGATGAAATAAACTATTCTTAATCAACACTACTAACATCAGCAAACTTCCAACAGTGATCTAGTAGGCCCTATACATAATGTTTCTCTAATGCCATTACATTCCAGTTAAAACCTGCTCTGTAACTGTACCTAGCTAACCATTTTCATAATCACAAGATATGGTTCGATGGTCAACTAAACTGCTACAATTATTTATCATTATTATTATTATGAGAGGAACTGCTCAATTATAAAGTAAAAGATAATGATTCACTTTTGACATTTACACGAATTATGTATTCACTGATAGGTCAACCACCAATAAATATAAAATGATAATGTTTAAATCACATAGCCCAAGGCCTTGACTTTAGTTCAGAAAATTGATTTGCAGTTGTAATTTAGATGACAAACATAGGACAGACTGAACAAAAAGCATTCTAGATCCCAGAGGCTATTGAAATTTCAGTTGTTGGTCTACCAAGCTTAAAGACAAAACAAACCCCCCAACAACCCACCCACCCCCAACCCCAAACACCATTAAATTCATCTGCAAAATGCTGCATGTTATAGCCTATTTCCCTCATAGGTTAACCTCCAAAGCCAAACTAACAAGATGGAACCCTCTATCACGCTAAATGGCCAGTAAGCGCGGATCCATATTTTATAGCCAAATATTGCACTTACCGAACATTAAGCCTGGTGAAATAAAAACACAATGCTAACAACGTTAACACCCATTTCATGATTTTCTTTTCTAATATCTTAACATTTCAACCTAATATTCTGCATAATGAGCATCTACCAATTCTGCCAAATTTAGAGAAATCTAGTTCAGTATTTCAAGTCGTTGAATTAAGAAAGCATGGCATGTAACAATTTTATGGGCAAAAGAATCTTCTGAGAGCGGAAGGGAGTGGTCGGCTGCTATGCAACAGGACACCAATGTGCATTCCAAACAAAAGTTCAACGCAAAGAACAAAAGATTAGTCCAATTTTCAGGTCAGACCCCAACGATTACCCAACTAAGTTGGACCAGAACAAAGAAAAAATAAAAAATAAAGAACACAATAACGTAGAATGCATTTAATATAAGGTACCCAGGGATTCAAGAGACATGAATCATGAAAATTCCGCTTCCTTCCTAGCATTACCACACCAAGCCTGGACTCATAGGATGCCTATCATCAAATAACGATTTCCTTCAGTTTACTACGAACAAATTCCCACTACTCATCTTCATAGTTAGTAATGTGCCAAGCGCTCAGCTACCTTAAAACACGCAATTAAATCCTCTCGTTATGCAGAATTTGTTCCAAGTTAAGATGTTCATTATCAACAGCATAGACAAGCAGGCATTCCAAGCACATTGCATGATACAAAAATCCATTAAAACTTTCAAGTAATATAGAAGGGCTCCACAATATATTCATTTTGTTCATGCTATCCCCACATCATAGTAGACTTCAAGAATCCCAATATACCAAACATTCCCTCTTACTTTAGGGGACGTCATTCTAAAAATACAAATATGTCACAGTCTGCTATCAGTGCCACAATTCATCATCATAATCGAGTATCATAGCGCACAACAGATTGCAGCATAAAGTCCAAGGCAATATTGTAGGAGTTAGCATCTTGAATGTCCAAGACCTAAGTATATAAAATTAGTAAAAATCGAGCATAAGACAATTCTCAAATTCTTCTTAGGAACACCTAATTATATTTCTCTTTCTCTAAGGTAAAAACAGAAGGCAAGAATGAAATCTAAAAATACCAGGCAACAAGCAACGTTTATGCTCCACATTACTACAATAAGTATCCATTGGAATTTTGCCGCTTGCATAAAGGATTCAAAGCCTAAAAACAAGAAAATAAAAAAGGTACTCTTTTTATAGCACAAAAATCCCTTCTTTGTTTAGAGGTTACAGTGTTGCAGATAAGTTAAAGGCAAGAATACAACTATCCATTATGATTATGGACTCCCAGTAACGTTAGAATCATAACCCATAAAAAAAAAAATTTATAATCAACATAATAAAATAGGAAGAGGGGAAACACACACCATATCATGCCTGCAAAGTTAACCAGGCAAGGCCTTCATCTGAAATGTTAGAATCAGCAGCACTAGTAGGCAAGCCTCATATGATCCCAATTTCCTGAACCACTAGTCTTAGCCACAACAGCAAGGGTAACAAATTACAATGAGAACAACGAAGGGTGACTATGAACAACAAAACATCAGATCCAAAATACGCCACCGCCCTTAACGTTCGATTTCATCCAGATCACACTTTGTTAGAACCTTCCACTCCAGTCATCACATTCAAGCAACGGTGACATTCCTTCCAGGAATAAAAAGCTTCACATAAAGAGAAAGGCCCAGTCTGTAACACCCCCAAAGCCCTGCAAAACCAGATTTCGCACCCGCCAAACCAACATCACCATAAACATCCTAGGCTGGGAAAGCGAGAATCAAAGCAAAGAGAGCAATAGCAAACAGAAATTTTGAGCCGAAATGCCGTCGCATTTGGCTTCGAGGATTGGATGTTTCTGAACGGATGGCAGCGGAAAGAAGAGCACGGAGTTACTGGCAAGAAGAAAAGAGCAGAAGCGAGAGCGAAAATAGATCATTAGGTAGAGGAAAGAAGAGAAGTTAGATTCAGAGATAAGGAGAGCACGGAGACAATAAAGAAAAGGAAAGGAACGGCAGCGGATTGGAAGAGAGGTAAAACCGGTGAACCGGAGTACGGCCTTTAATGGATGAGACGGGAAATCGGTGGAAATCAGGGGGGGGCCTTTGGTGAAATAAAGCAATGAGGAAGCAGAGAATAAGGAGGTAAAGATTGAAAGTGTTTGAAGGCGATTAGAGGAGGAAAGAGAAGAGGATGGTGAGGGTTTGGCGGTGTAAGAAGGCGGGCGATTTTTAAGTTAGTTGCGGGATAGCGGAAATGAGATTGGGTAAAGTCCAAATGATAATTAAGTGAAGCAGATGAGAAACATTTGGTATAATTAGGGCTGCCATTTTGTCTCTTTAGGTTTGATTTTGAACAAGGCATTCGAGTGAAGAAGACCACACATCGCTGCAAGCTGCCGCGTCGTCCTTTGAGTGGTTATTCCAATTATACGACATTCATTTGAGCGCTTATTGGTTTTGATTTTTTACATTTTGAGGATTAAATAAAACACAGAGCAGGGGAAGAAGACCAATGCAAGAATAAGCTGCTTCCGGAGTCGGATATCCTTTCCATTATTTCATTTGTTGCCTGTAGTTTTTTTTTTTTTATTATTTTTACTTCATTCGTTATTTTAGGAAAATAAAAAAAAATTAATTACTATTTATTTAATTTTTTTTTTAATTTATTAAAGAAATATTGATTTTTTTATTTTTATTTTTACAAATGTTTAGATTTACAGTCCGCTATTTTTATAATATTATATTATATTACTTTTCTTTAAAAACAATCTCAAAATTTTACCTTCTAAAGCCTTTAGTATGGAAGATTTTGTTTAGCTGATTTCATGCAGTTATTTTTTTTCAATTAATATTTAAATGTTCTTTTATTTATAATTACTAAAAAAATATCAAATAACTATTCAATTAATTATTACTTTTTTATTTACATAATAAATTAAAATAAGCAAGTGATATATTAATTATTACCTTTAAATATTATTTTACATTTGAATAGTAATGATATAAAATTTTAACTGAACAACTAGTTTCACCAACTGATCAGATATTTAGCTCGATAATATAGGGCAATCAATCCATCCCAAACTATCACCAAACAAAACTGAATCAAATCGGCCCCCTAAATCGATTGTAGCACATAGTAAAATTTTGTTTATTTATATAGATGATTAAATATTTATTTAACATAAATGATTGTTCTTATTAATGTAGTTATCCATGTTAAATATTTATTTACTTTGAAAAATATGAACAATTGCTTAATTTGTAAATTTGTCAAATCTTAAATGTTAAGTTACTTCAGAAGTAGTTAAATTCAGTAAGTAATGGTAAACTAATGAAACAACTAAAAGTAAAAATTTGGAATATGGATGGATTGATTTATATTTTTAACAATTCCATTTCATATTACATACACCCACATTTTTTTTTTTTACAAAAAAAAAAAAAAAAAAAAAAAAAAAAAAACGTATACTCCACTTTAAATTTAGTAGTTCCAAAATACATTCCCAAATTAATTTTGAATTGACATATTTCAAAATTTGAAATTTGAATTTGACATATTTTAAATAAAGTAGACCCCTTTAATCTCAATTTAAAATTTTGATAAAAAAAAAAGTAATTATTAAACAAATTTTTTTTTTTTCAAAAATTGGGAGGTTCTTTTAATTTTTCACTGCAATTACTTTAAAAAAAAGTACTAAAATAGAACAGAGAAAAATATTTATGTTACAATTTTCCCCTTGATTTTAACAAAATTATCATTAATGGATGCGCCATTGTTGATAGTTGATAAAAAATGTATCAATAGTTTGCTGTTGAATATAATAACCCACGAAGGATAATTCTTTCATAAATTACCTATGTACCATATACATTGTGTTTATTTTTTCCATTTTCGTTTTTTTACGTCGGAGCATTTTAAAAAATTTCTATTTGCGTGTCAGAGTGGAAACGTGTTTAATTAATTGAGTGCAGTAAGAGAAGAGTATTATAAAATCCGATTCTCACTGGATGACATTATCTTAAAACAATAAAATGTAGTAATACTAATAATAACTATTCTCCTCTCCTTAGATAAACGCACATTAACAAAAATTTAGAAACAATAGAAAAACAAATTGTTTTTGGTCTCTAGATAAAAAACAACAATTTGAAGATATACAGAAGCTTCAGATTGGCCAACAAAAAACCAAAATATTAAAAAAGGCCAAAAATGAAAGGGGACCAGATTTCCACTCTGATACTTGTAAATTAGATAAAATAAATTAAAACCGAAACTATCAAATTACAACCAAGAAAAAGAGATCAAAAACACACAAAATTATATTGAAAAGGCACAACCGCAACTGCAAATTATGTACTGACCACTATTATGAGAGCGGATACGGAGAAAATGATCACTGGCCAGTATAATTAATTCCACTATCCCCAACACTGCCAAAAGTTAGACAGCACTATAAGGCAACTTTCAATTCTTACCAAAGAAAGGTAATAAGATTAGAACAAAAGTTCACAAATTATAAGTAAACCATTAGGTTATTAAGGCGCACTCTTGATAAGTCATTCTGATGTTTAAACTGAACATGCTTCATTTCTTCCTCTGTTTTCTGCTTAATTATCAGAAAAGGGTCACTTATTCCTCAATCTATCTTTCCATTTTTTACTTTTCCTTCCTTTTTTTTCCTTTTTAAATCTTTATATATCTTCGAATTGGATAAGGTGTTTAAGCATAAAACAAAGGCCCATTGTGTAGCTCATTTTCATCATTGGGATGTTCACCTTGAAGTATGGCCTATTCAATCATCCTTCTATGTCAAGGTTGTTAAGTTGAATTGAAACTTCTGCAGCCCCCAGCACAAAGAAAAGCCATTAGGAGAAAGCAATTGCCAATTAGACTTGCTGCATAAAAGTCGGCCACTGGGGCCCCAATAACAGAGTTCATCAAATGGAAAAACACCATTAAAATTTTAAAATATATTACAAGGAATCAAAAAAGGCTAACTGAGGTTAGAACAAATCAGGACGAAGAATAGGATGAAAAGAAAGGAAGAGATTATAAAAAGAGAGCAATGGAAGGACTAAAACAAAAGGAAGACATTGTATGGAAACTTAAAGAAGGAAAGAGAGGGAAGAAAACTTATGAAGGAAAGAAATTGATATAATAATCTTCTTATTCGATTTTATTGGAATATGAAAAGTAAGGAAAATAGGATGCCCTTGTTCTAAGGATTCAGACAGCTAAAAAAGAAAATAAATAAAAATTGACATCCAAAACATAATACATTTCAACTATAGCACTAAAGCTACTCACAAATCGAAATATAATATACCACAGGAAGGAAAAGACATGATAGACCATGCTACCGAAGTTATAATAATCCATTTTCGGCATTGCTATCCTCAAAAACATCCATCACATTTACACTTCTCATCAAGATTTGCCTATAAATTAATTTCTCAATTGGGCAGTGATTCAGTCCTAGTATAATTGTCTCCCAAATAACAAAGTAAGAAGAATCTTCCCATCAGTTCTTAGAGGTGTGCAGAGTCAAAACAGTTCTCCTTTCAGTTCAACCTACCCCATGCAAATTTATTGAAACCCAACTTCAAGACCAAAGAATGAAAATTTCAAGAAGAATCCAATGAAGTAAGATGAATAACTCATTACCCTTATTCTACATTTGGACAGCTCTTTCCCCAGAAATGAGTTATCAACTTAGAAGATTGTATTGCTTGAATTTTTACTTTTAAAATGTTCAGCAATAATAAACCTATCTTGCATCTCCACAAAAAGCATATTGTTTTTTTTTTCCACCCTTCCATTAATTAATATGACAGTTGATGGCCTTTGCATCATTTACTCATCTATACATTGAGGTTTTATCAAGCCAGTAGAGAGAATAGCTTATACATCTAGAACTTAGGTGCGTAGATTACACGATTCCTTCACAATAATTGTTTCTTCCAATTCTTACTGTCATATAATTTGATTTTATACAAGCACTTAGAGCAAATAGCCTACACATCAGACCTAGGTGGTAGATTACATGATTCCTTGCAATAATTTGATTCTTCCAGTTCTTTGTTCGGTGCATGAAACACAATTTAGAAGCCACTACGGCAATTTAGTCTGGGGCTGGAAATTAAGGCGTATAAACTACATTTGAACTTAAATGTTCTTGTGGGATCATCTAGTGCTTAATGAATTCATCTTAATAAGATTGGACCACTTACCCATGAAGATCTGGGATTTCACACTTTTTTGAAAGCCCTTGCTAGCTGAACTTTTGCCCCTGGTTGTTCGCAGCAGCAGAAGAATCAATGTTGGATGGATATCATCTGCCAAAAGACAATAATGAATTATTTATTAGAATTGCGAAAAAGACCACAAGTGTCGAGCAGAGGTGAATTTATAAAAGTCAATTAGTCATCTTCTGTAGACGGGCAACTTACAATAAACCACACCCTGCTTCATGAACTAAAAAACAGGCTAGATCCTTGAATATGATCATTTACTTGTCCCAAATTTGCTTCTTGTATTCTTTAATCCCTTTGTTCCCTTTCATCAATTATGGCCTCATTGAAGGCAATTTCATTATCCAGAAGGCAACACCTCTTGTCTGAATGTTTTTAGTTTAAAGAAAATCAAATCAATCAACAAAAATAATAATAAATATTGTCACCAAATCCTTAAAAATGCAAGACCAATAATAATAATGGAATTTAAAAATATATATATATATATATATTATATATTAACCACATTGCATTAATATACACTATTAGACTTACCGCTTTCTGTTCCATAAGAAAAGGTTGCGTATCCTGATCCCATACTAAGGCTGCCTACATTATTTCACCGGAGCCAGGACCTGTAACCGCAAGAGACACACAGAAGTTAATTAATGTAAAATTCAAAAAAATGCCCGAAGGAAACAAAAAAAGTTGGAAGAGAGCAAAAAACAGTTGATGTACGAGGCAGTAATGAAGATTGCAGGAAGAGAAGGGGAATAAGTGGGGACTCCCGCTCAGAGCAAGCTGCTTGCAACTTTCTGGAATTCTTTGTAACGTTCGTTTGGGGAAAATCCCTTGGCAAGATCGCATCTTCAATTTCTTTTACTCGGCTAAAACAAATATTCACAAACAAATCTATAGAGAACAGTTCTTAAGAAAAAACGGAAGGAAAATATTAAAAAAAAAAAAAGAAACGATAGTACGCTTAACATTGCGAGCCGTGATCGGAATTCGCTAACAGATTTGAGCTTAGCAGAAGTGCTTTAACTAATTGGAGAATCCTCTGCCTCGTTATTGTGCCTGCCATAACCATTGAAGCATTAGATCATATATCGCTCCGTTAAATTTCAATGTAATTTGATACACAGAGAGCAAAGCAATTAATAATCTTGATTGATACGAGAAGAGCAAAGGAAGTACAGTTTCTGGCGGTGCTCGCGACGTGTCTTTGGCAGTTCCAAATAGCATCAACGAGGCGACGGGGAAACCGGAAACGGCGGTGTTGATCTGGAAAATACCGGCAGCCACCGCTTGCGAGGGGCTTCTTAACATTGGAGAAGCAGAAGATAGGCCGGCTTTTTGCCATTTTGGAGTCTCTGAAGCTTCATATCGCCAGCGAATAACAACACCTAGACTAAAACCCTTAACGGCCTGGAGAGAAATACCAGTAGGAACGGGGCCCCTTTTTTTTTTTTTTTTGGGTTAAAAAGGCGGGCAAAAAAAAAGAGAAGAAGCTCATTGTAGGGAAGTGGAAAGCCTGCAGAGTGCAAACAGTTTCAAACTGTAATCCACAAAATAGCCTTTTCTGTTAATTAATAACTGTTAATTAATTATATTAATTGGAATTATCAACCAATATACAGATTATAAAAAATAAAAAACGATGTAATGGCTGAAGGAAAGAATAAAAGTTAGTTTGTGGGACCCCTTGATGAAAAGAAGAGATGCGGGCCCTTTAGCGAGTAGGACGCGGGGAAAGAGGCTTTTTGGAAACGTACCTATTTATTCCGCTTGGAAATTCAGTATCGGACTTCGTTATTTCAATTACGAGGATTTCATACCGGGGTGTACCAGGTTACCTACCATTTCGTGACTTAGTTTAACGACCAATAATTGTCAGAATCGGACCGGCCAATATTTATTGGAAAAAAAAATTGAACGCGTTTCACCAAAACGTGATGCCTTCTTTTAAGTTACAATCTAAATTATGTGATATATGAAATTATGGCCAAAAGCAAAAGCAAAAGGGAAACAGCCTGAATTGACCGTCCAAGTCGTGCCTTTCCATATCTGGACCTGCAAACAACAATTAACTATCAAAAAAGTCTAGAAATGGTGACCTCACTTACCATCCACCATCAACTACTTCTCACCATTGCAAATTTAGAAGAAATTCAAATTATCAAACCATCCCAGACCAGAACATTCAAATCTTCCACTAAATTCATGGTGGTGATTGAGAAATGAAATGAGAATCACCTGAAAAATCAGAAATGGCATCACGCCTCTTGCTATTAAAAATTATCAAAAAATAATCCTATGGTTTTACGTTGCTTCATGTGCCTTTTTTTTTCATTTTTTAATAAAAATAACATATTCATTCATCCAATAAATCTAAAACTATCACAAAATTTTGTAAACGAACAATTTTTCTAGCTTACGATTTGCATTTTCTAAAAATCTGAAGCAATGTGTTATTTTTAGCCAACATTAAACAATGCCCTCTAGCACAACCAGCTTGTAAACAAATATATCAATGCCCAAAAGAAGGAATTGTCCAAATTGTAAAGCTTGCTCCTTTTCGAAATTCGGAGAAGATTCTTAGCCATTACTTGGAAAAAATGTATTGAAACATGCTCATTAATCCTGTGCAATGCCTTCAATGAGTAGTAATATTCCTCTTTGGAAGCAGGAAAAATACAAACTGTCACTGGCAAATAATACATATGTAACCTGCAAAATATATAGCTGTAAGCAAGCTGCGGATGACTAGGGAATCAAACAAAACAGCCTTTTCTGCTTACCTTGGAATAATAAGGATGTATAGTCCGAATCCAGATACTGCCAATGCATGAGAAACTTAGTTCTATGTATGTATTTGTTTGGAGGATATTTTGATTCTGGACATCCTCACATGGACTTACAAGCGACATGTTAGGACCAGAGGGTGAAGATTGGACTTGGAGAAGCATTATTAGCTTCCCTTTCGATGATCACCCAATTAAAACTGTGGGAACTTTGGTTTGCACGTAAAGGGGAAAGCGAAAATCAGGGCAGTTGGTTTCTGTATGGTGACTAATATTATAAGAGCAGGAAGGCTTAGAATGAAGTTCTGCCAAGCAATGAAAGATCCCTAATTTAGCCAGTTGTTCTCTTGGTTAGCTCTAAGAAGAAGTTCTGCCTGTTGGATTATTAAACAAAGAAGAATTGTAAGTGAAATGTTTTAAAACAAAGCATCCCAATAGAATTGCCAGTTAGTTATAACCCCAATGATAAGCAAGGCCGAGCCCCAACCTTCAATCAGTAATTAACTATTTACAAAGACATGTCATGGGATGACTATGCATTCCAAAAAGCACAAAACATACTCATATAATATTGGTGATTTTGGGAAGATGGGGCCAAGTTTACTAAAGCAGTGATTCATTCCTTGATAGGGGAATAAGTGCATGGAAGAGGAAGAAAAAAACCAAATAAAAATTAATAGCCACTTTACTAATCAGGGAAGCACCAAAAGGAAGATTACATCATTACTTTATTTTACATCTCCATCAAAAACCAAAGAGTTTCGTGGAACATCTGATGCCATTTGATCTGTCATCAGCTTGAAAACCTTTTACTCATATTGTTTCATGCCAACCATCTTTCCTGCAGAATAAATTCTTTGTTTATCCCAAGATCTGCTTGCACATTTCTCCTCACATAAAGCTTCTTCAATAGAATTTCCCAAGATAAGGGCTTCCTTTCCATATTGGCGGCGCAGACCTCTGTAAAGTGCATCAAAGTCCAGGATATCTTTTTCTGCAGCTTTTCTCAGCTTGACTAATTAATTTTCCATAGGGGTTCTCTAGATGATTTATGTACTCAGAAGCGAAGATGAGGGTTTACATTTATATTCAATCTGACATTCAAAAAGAAAAAACAAAACTTGATTTTAGTAAAACTCATTGCCAACGGTTTGAAGTCATGATAATTGCTAGGTTGGAATTTTTCATGTTCATCAATAATGCAAAATTGAAGGCTTTAAGTGGAAATTTGGATAATTTCTTCCAATAGTTCCCATCCTGAGATTCCTGATGCATTTAAGATAAAATAATTTTAATATCCGATGCTACATTTTCCACAGAACAACAAAAGGTACCTGTAAAGAATGTTAAGGAACTGAAACTACACGGTGATTACTTCAACCTGAAAACCAAAAATGTAACGAAAAGGTTATGGAACTCAAACTAGAAATAATAAAAAGCATGGCAATTGCAAGTTTAAACCAATGGATCTTAGAAGCCACAGGAATTGTTATACATAGACCTCGCTACCAAGCCTACCAGGGTGCAAGAGTTACACAATGGTGTAAGCATATTTCACTTAAAGCCAGTCCAAGTAGAGTTGGACAGTGGAATAGTAAGGCATAAATGAGGAAAAAATATCCAAATAATTTAAAAAAAATTTACAAAAATTCCAGATTCTTCTTTCTTACCATCTTGTTGAGAACATTTAAAAAAATTATCTAATATACCTTGGATAAGCTCTCAAAAAGCATCTCAAAGAGAGATTCAATGCCAACATTCCCAACATCCCCAGTCTTTTGCTCACCAAAGATGGTGCCAAAGGCCTCTATACCCATGTCTCTCTCTGCATTGGAAAACCTGGGCCAAGTTCTTTTCATCTTCAAAGAGCTTTAAGCCTCTCCTGAAGTGTTGGAAAAATAAATGGAAGTTTACTTGCCAGAACAGCCGTTAAACAATGCGAGAGATCAACTGTGCACGCCATCATGAATGATTAAAAGGTGAAGGTCTCTTTAATTGCATAACGACCAAGCTTGATCAGATAGCAGCTGAACAATCAGGGTAAAAAATAAGTGTGCATAAGCTTCTTATCCTGCTCGCCCACTCTTCCTCGGCAACTATTGTCACAACCACCGAAAAAAGAGTGTAATAAGAATAAATGAACTCCGGTAAACAATACAGTTTCTTGTTCCATTGAATGGAAAGTCATTGCAACAATCAATAATTAAGATTAATATTTAGCAGAGGTGAAAAGAGCAACTCAATTCCCACATATGCTTCTCCTAGCCAGAGATGCAAGATAAATGACAAATAAACACATACACACACACACACACAAAAAGAAGAGAGAGAAGGAAGAGAGAAGAGGGAGAAGAGAGAGAGGAAGGAGGGAGGGGAGTTGAAGTGTGCTATCTAAAACACCAAAATTTTAGTAGTTTTTCCTACCATGGTTAAAAGCAGAGGACTTCTTCAGAGTAAACTTAAAGAAAATCTTTAAAAGGCAAAAAGCAGCAAAACGCAAAAGAATACCTGATTAAGTTACCATAGTTGAGATTAAAGTCTCACAAAGTTAAACAATTATGATGACCTTTCTAGATAAGGATTGCAAGATTGCCTTCTATATGTTTTCAGGACAAAAAAAAAACAAATGAGGGAAAAAAGTAAAGAGAGTGGAACCGATATAGCTGTGCCAGGCCAAATGTTGAACACCTGAATTATGATGGTGTTGCATTACTGCCGATGTTCAAGCCACTTTCCACTATTGTTGATTGGCCATATGAGAAATCTTAAATTCACCTTGTTGCAAATTTCTCCATGTTTCCTCAAGCTGCTTAGAATATTGCTAACCAAGAAAGTACAGGACAAAATGGTGAGAACAAAGAAGCCGTTCAAGATGGAAGGGATGTAACAAGTTGAACATGAAAAGCTGAAAAAAAATAAAATTCATTTAAGGAGCACTAAACCAAACCATGTAGGAAACTATATAAAGGATAACTGATTTTATGGTAAAAGGAAGGGCTTAGATTCTTTTTTTTTTTTTTTTTTTTTGGGACCTATAAGAAGCAGGGATTCCTTGAAGTCACATAAAAATTAATAAATTTGTATTAAACTTCAAAACATGAGGGCCAAAGTTAGGGAAGTGGGGGAAAGGGGAAAAATTTGTTGTTGGGGAGGAGAAGATAATTTTTTTTTCCTTTTTTCTCCTTTCCTTTTTTTTTTTTTTTTTTTTTTTTTTTTTTT